GTCCTCGTGTTTTGAGGCATGTCCACGCTGATTTCCATAGTGGCTGCACAAGTTCACATTCTCACCCACAGTGAATGAGGACTCCTCTTTCCCCCTCATCCTCACCAGCTTTGTTACCTTTTGTCTCCTTGTTGATAGCCACTGTGATGGGTGAGATAGAGTCCTGCCATCATCACTTTTCTTGCATCCACCGCTAGTTGTATACATCTTTCCTTTTTTAGAAAGTAAGTTCATTGAAAACATTCTATACCAGAAGTAACAGCTTTCAAAGAGTCTGAATGACCTCGAGCAATGGTGGGCTAGGTTGTTCCAGACTAATCCTTTACTAAAAGGTTTTAAAACTACGGAAACAAAGAGTTCTGGTGGGAGGCACAGGAAAGACACTTAAGTGTCAAGGTACAGAGGAAGAGAAGACAAAGATCCAGATATATGATACGCAGAGTTAGAGACTGCCACATTCTATGACTTCAGTGACTTACAATTAAGAATTCTTGAGACTTATTAGCTGAATCTCTCAAATCACTATTCTGACTGACTGTTGCCATTACTTAATAGAGAAACAGAGCTCCTACAAAAACTTGTTTTTAAAAATTTAGGGTTGGAGAGATGACTCAGTGGATAAAGTGCTTGCTAAGCAAATATAAGGACCTGAATTCAGATCCCCAGTGCCTACTTAAAAGCCAGGCACAGTAGTGCAGGTCTGTAACCTTAGCATGGTGGGGACATGACAGACAAATCCTGGGGGCTAGCCAGCCAGCTATAGAAGAAAATGGCAAGCTCCAGATTCAGCGAGAGACCCTTTCTCAGGAAATAAGGTGAAGAGCAGTAGAGGATATCAACCTGCCTTCTTCCACAGTGAGTGAGCATACATGTGCTTACACACATGCACACAGCACACAAACACAAAGATGAGGATGTTGAGAAAAGGGTGTGCCTACACACTTTGGGACTGAACTGGTGAAACCATTATGGAAAACGGAAGTTCCTCAGATCATTGAAAAATAAAACTGCATATGCTCCAGCCATGCCACTTCCTGGATATGTATCCAGAAGAACCGAAATCATCATCTCAAAGTGGTATCTGCAGTTAGGTTTACTGCACTTAATTCACCTAGGAAATTAAGTCAACCTAGGGAAACAACCCGTGTTAGTTGAGGGATGAATAGTCAAAGGAAATGAGGGTGGAGTATTATTTGCTTGAAGAGAGGAAGAGATCCTGTCCATTTGCGTCAACACTGATGAACCCTGGAAGACATGTCAGATTTTGCTGATCTTTGACTAACTTTTCTGTATGTTGTAGGTGGTGTCGGGTTTGACATTAATTGTGGTGTCCGCTTACTAAGAACCAATTTAGATGAAAGTGATGTCCAGCCTGTGAAGGAGCAGCTCGCCCAAGCTATGTTTGACCACATTCCTGTTGGGGTGGGATCAAAAGGTGTCATCCCAATGAATGCCAAGTAAGAGCACAAGTTCTGGTAAATGGAGTGAGTGGGAGAGGAAATCCCCATGACCCTGAGCTTTGTTTTCTTTCTAGACAGCTGCTCAGTCACTCCTCAGGAAACAGAAACTAATTCCTTCTGTAGGCATCAGATCCAGCCCATGTTCATTAAAACACTCTTTGAGCGAGGCACAGTGGCATCCACCTGTATTCCCAGCCTCTCAGGAGGCTGAGATGAGAGGATCACTTAAAGCCAAGGGTTCAAAGCCAGCCTGGTCAACGTAGCAAGACCCTATATCTAACATTATAAAAGAATAGTTCCTGATGTAAAATGGGGTTCTGAAAGTATCAGCACTCATTTCATCCAGGTGACAGCCCTGTTAACCACTGTTAGAAGAAAGGAAGCTGAGGTTGAGAGAAGTAGTAGTACATGTGCCTAGTCAGTGATGTTAGTTAAATCAGTCCTTTGGCTTTCCCAAGCTGTGCTCTGAGTACCTCACAGTGAACCTATTAATCAAAAACTTCTTTTGAACAATGGCACTGAATGTACTTTAGCTAAGTAGTAAGTTGAATATAAAGCTATAGTGTTACTACCTCTCAGAGAGCCAGTGGCTATATTGTATTATCATAGCTCATGAAAACCAGTGCACATTAAACTTAGCAGAGTACCTCTCTAGCCTCAAACCCACTGTGTAGCCAGACTGACCTGAACTCCCGACCCTTCTGCCTCAGCCTCCCAAGTACTAGGATGCTCTGCAGGACATCTGTCTCAAATGACGTGCTTAGCAAATGTAAGTCAAAGTGTGAATTGCTGGGCATGGTGGTGCACGTCTTTAATCCTAGAGGCAGATGGAGCTCTGTGAGTTCAAGGTCCGCCTGGTCTTCATAGTGACTTCCAGGTCATCTGGGGCTACAGGGAGACCCTGTCTCAAAAAGACCAAAAAAAAAATAATAATAATAAATTAATGTGAATTTTAAGTTTATATGCATATATTAATACAGAAATCCTTTTAGCTATTATCTATTATATAAGTCCCTCCCACTTAAAAAACACTTGAGGGGAAATTGATTAACTTAGAGATGGGTATCCTATATTTTCATATGATCCCTGAGTAGCCCCACTATAAAAAGCATATGTGTAACAATGATCAAATCTGAAGTGTCTTTACAAATATTTTAGATAGGAATTTTGTCCTAATACATAATGTTTGAAAAGGATTGTCATGTACAATAGTAGGGAAAGATTTGGGGGGGAAAGCTTTTAACTACACTCTCTTGGGGCTGGAGAGATAACTCAGCAGTTAAGAACACTGGCTGCTTGAGGACCTGGGTTCAGTTCTAGCACCAGTATGATAACTAACAACTGTAACTCCAGTTCCAGGGGATCCAGTGCCTTCTTCTGACCTCCATGGGCATTGCATGATACAGGCGCACTTACATGCATGCAGGCAGTACATTCATACACATAATAATATATTTTTTTTTTTAATTTTAAGCTGTAATCTCTTTTAAAAAAACAAAAACAAAAAACTGTAATCTCTTATTGGCTGTGCTTTGGGAAAAGCCTGGACCTTGGATGAAAAATGAAGACATCTTTTCTCTAAGCACTTTCATTGCTCACCCAGAGACTTGGAAGAGGCCTTGGAGATGGGTGTGGACTGGTCCCTAAGGGAAGGTTATGCCTGGGCTGAAGATAAGGAGCACTGTGAGGAGTATGGAAGGATGCTGCAGGCTGACCCCAATAAGGTCTCACCCAGGGCGAAGAAAAGAGGCCTTCCTCAGGTAACTCACTTGCAGGAACAACATGCTGTTGCGGGTTTGTTATAGGAAGGATTCTATATTTTCTGTTTAACAAAAATGTATATCTTTGTGGGTTTTATTATAACATATCAAAAGAAGGCAAATCTGTTTGCCTTGTTTGCATTGTTTTTCTGAAAAGTGGAGCTTACAAATATTCATAAGAAGGTTGTGAGTTGTACGTAGAGAGGAGAAAAGTGGGATATGAGCCTTATAAAACATACCAGAATTTAAGTTTCAAAAAGATTTAAAAAAAATAATTTATAAGGATGCAGTGCAGGGGCTGGAGAGATGGCTCAGTAGTTAAGAGCACTGACTGCTCTTCCAGAGGACCCAGGTTCAATTCCCAGCAACCACATGATGGCTAACAACTGTAACTCCAGTTTCAGGGGATCCAGTGCCCTCTTCTGGCCTCCACGGGCATTGTACAAAATGGGTGTGCTTACATATATGCAGGCAATACACTCATATTCATAAAATAAAAATAAATCAAAAAAGAAGTTTTTTTAAAAAAAGAGACAGTGAGGTGGCTCAGTAATTAAGGCTTTCACTGCACCAGCCTCACAACCTGAGTTCAGTCCCTAGAGCTGTAAAAGTGGAAGGAAAGAAGTAACTCCAAAAAGTTGGCTTCTCCCCTCCACACATGTTGTGGCATACAGACCATGCAAACACGGTGATAATAATAATTGACTTTAGAGAAATTATTTTTAAAATGCCAAAATTTAATATGGATATCCTTTAACAGTCTTTTTAATTTGATGTAAGTTTTCTGGTATCTGAAATGAACAAGGATACTGTCCATGTGATAGAACAGGATGCTCGAAGTTTATAGATAGTTGTGAAAGCTTTGCCACCAGTTCTCTTGAACTTGGACACAAAGCCCTTTGGCCTCTGGAATTCATTTTCTCACGGAAAATTGGAGTAATTAAACTGGGCAGCTTCTAAAGTTCTTCCAACTGCTGCTGTCTGCCTCTCCCAGTTGTGGAACATGTTCTTGGAATAGTGGGTGTCCTAAACTCTAGTGTTTCATAAATCATTTCAACTTGGGACTTTTCTGAGAACCTGAGTTCACCTGTGTTCTTCTTAGAATAGAATGCCCTGTTCAGTGATGCTTTTAACTTCCCATGAGCCCTTTAATGGCTTGATGTTTTGGTATATGAAGTTTTTTATGTGTGTACTTAGAGCATATAGTATTATAGACTCCAGAGCTAGTCTGTATTTTTTGTTACATGGAATGTTTTAAATGAATTTCTAAGAGTTTTTTCGTTATGGGAGATACTTTTTGTATGGCTATTTGTTGTTTTTTTGTTTTTACCTATTTTCTTTTTAAGTGAATTTTTTTGTAAGAATAGAAGCTATTTAACAAATTCTTGCATTTTAGTTGGGCACCCTGGGAGCAGGCAACCACTATGCAGAAATCCAGGTTGTGGATGAGATTTTCAATGAGTATGCTGCTAAGAAAATGGGCATTGACCACAAGGGACAGGTGTGTGTGATGATCCACAGTGGAAGCAGAGGCTTGGGCCACCAAGTAGCCACAGGTGTGTTCTAGACCTAATTTTTTAAAATGTATTTTTTATTGATGTGTGTGTGTGTATTTCATACACATTTTAGTCCTCTTTATAACCCCTTCCCCATTGGCACCCTCCCATGCCCCCCCACCAAGGATTTCATGCAGTCTGTCATTTATGTTAAGACCTAGCAAGTCAAGTTAGTGTCCCCTGACATCCCTCTTTTCAAGTTCATCCACAGAGGTCTAGTCAGCCTATCTAGAGTCATTCCCTTAAAGAAGCTCAGCTCTTCCTCACCCAGTAATAATCCAGCTTCCCGATAGTTTTTTGGCTAAGATTGGGGCCAGCTGCCCATTTCCACATTTCTGTACTAGGTTTTTGTCTGCTTGAGTTTGTATGGGTCTTGTGCATGCTATCACCATTGCTGTAAGTTCATATGAGCAAGGTCCCAAGAGCCTGTAAGACTTATTTCCAGGGGCTGGAGTTAAGAACACAGGTTGTTCTTGCAGAAGACCCAGGTTCAAATCCCAGCACCCACATGGCAACTAACAACTGCCCGTAACTCCAGTCCCAGGGGATCCCACAGCCTCTTCTGACCTCTGTGGGCATTGTACAACACAGGTGCACTT